CTTTTGGCAAGAAATGCTGCAACAAAGTGCACTGGAGCTCTAAGGTTTGGATCCCTCACTTCATCGGCAACAGCCTGGAGCTGGACAACGTGCCGCATGTCGTTTGTGCCTTGGCTTACCACTTAGGTGTGGACTCTTCTTCCGGTCACTATGCAGCAGCTCTCAAGGACAAGGAGATCTGGTGGGTCTACAACGACTCTGACGAGCCCCAGCCATTCAGGGAGCTCCCAAAGGTTGTGCTGGAGAACGTATGCGTGCTATGGCTCACCTGCACGACTCAAGGAGGTGATGAGCCTGTTTCCTTCCCGGCCTACGAGGCCCCTGTGCTGACAAAGGATGACCAGATCCAAAATGTGCTGAAGGACACCACTCCGATGGACCCATGGCACGCGGACTGGCTTCAGGCCCTGGACTTGCTCGACATCAAGCTCTTGGTGACGCATCCTGAACTTTGTCATCGGCTCGTCAAGAAATGCATTTGCTGCCAAACGTGGCCTGCTGACCTGGCTGGGCATTATGCAGTCCATCATCGAGACCTTTGGCTTGCAGCAGGCTCCATGGAGCCGCGTTGTGCTGAGCTCTTCCTAGCTGAGGCCCTGGCCACCCGCTGGTGTGCATGCCAGCCCTACCAGAGGCTCCGTGAATCGGAGCTTGATGGTCACTCCTGTCCCTGCATCAGGCAGTTCATCTGCCTTCATTTGCTTGTGAGATCCGGACAAAAGCAGAGGGCGCAGGACACAACACTTGCCCTTCTGCTCGGATCTCGTTTTGGTTGAAGGCCCTACGGGGCACGGCGGACTGGCAAAATGCCATGGGTCCACGCCATCGCCGCACGGTGAGCGTAGAGAAAGAAAAAAGATGATGGTGATGATGATGATGATGATGATGATGATGTGTGGATAAGGGAGGGTAGTATGGTGGTGAGTGGTAGGGGGGTGTTGGATGGTGTTGGAGACTTTTGAGGTTGCAGGGTGATTGGGGGGTCGATGAGTGGAGAGCGGAGAGGGAGCTCCTGCTAGTGCAAATGGTCCAGCAACATCAGCAACTGGCGGGAGGGGATCTAAGCATACCAAAGTGAACATCAAACGTGATTCCTTGGTTCATTCCCCAGCATCCATGAAGTCCTTACCATACTGCAGGTGGCGTTTGGATCCTATTGAGTTCAGGGATGTTCAGGGATAGTTTCTGGGCAATTGTCACTGTCACCGCTTCAACCGCTTGGACCTCTTGGGTTTTCCACCGCTGAACATGACCCCCACAGCTGGCTTCCGCGGGTGCAGGTTCGGGCAGGCCAGCGGGCTGCACTTGCTCGGCTCGCTGACGCGGCCCGGCTCCTTGACCCTTGAGGCCGGCGCACCGCACGAAAGTCGGGTGGAACGGATGGAGAGAGAGGGCGCCGGCGCCGTCGCTGAGGGCACGTCCCTTTGTTCAGTGCTGTGAGGTGAAGCTGGGGGTTGGTCCTGCGGAAGACTGGAATTCACCAGAAACCGAGGATTCACAAGAAATCAATCCAGGTCAGAGTCTCACTCCCAGTGGATGCTCGAACTCTACGTATGCGTACCATGTGCATCAAAAGCCGTGGAATATTAGGACTCATATAGCACGAAAGGAGGCTCCAGCCAGGGTCCTGGCAGCCTAACTCTAGAAATCCAGCGTTCTAAAAGCAAAAAGATCAAGCCAGACGCTAGGGACTTGAGGGTCGGGACCCCTCCATATGAGGGTCCATGAGCTTCTGGGCAAGCAAACATCCTCGACTGGACGGACCGATTTCACCATCCAATCCACTGCAGCTCGTTTCCGCGTTTCGCAGATGCCAGGCGCTGGACGCCTTGTCGGTGCCCCTGCTGCAGAGCGCCACTCGGAACAGGAGCCAGGCGCCACTCGGACCGACCGCATGAGGTGGGCGATGGGAAGAGCAGACACCGATGAAGGAGCAGACACGGTTCGCACGGGACCGAAGCGGGCTGAAACGGGGGCGTTTGGGGACATGTGCAGGACATGACTGGACTCTCGGAGTGCAGGTGGTGCAGGAATGTTGGTCAACTTGTTTGAAGGAATGAATGTTTCCACTTAAGGACACTTAAGGCATTTTTCGCCTGTTAATTAGAGTGTGATCGTCAGTCATTGTACTGCAACAACAGAAGACAGATCGTTAGCTTTCAGCAGGATTGGGCTGCTGATGTTCGATGTTTTTGAGGCTTGGTGTTGGTTCAGGAAGGTGTCCCCACTGAGGGGTCGTTGTTAGGTGGTTTATAATGGATAGAGTTAAAATGGATGCCGCAGCTCCTTGCAGAAAGATCGATTTAAGCTTTAAGCGCCAATGTTTTACAACGATGTGTCATTTGGATGTAGCTGCGAGGTCTACAAGAGGATTCTTTGAGACATGCATGTAGTACCCTGATTGATATTCACTATTCACCCGTTGGATCTTTATCTTTGAACATTGAACCTTCTGGAATTCACTCAACCTTGAGGGAGAAACCAGAAGCCGTGACCCAGAAAATGCCCTAAAGACATGCTTCTTTTGGGAAACAGCAGCATATGGCTGAATGGAGGAGTGAGGGTCCAGGAATGATTTATATACATATATTCATGTATATTTTGTTATAGTCATTGATACATTTATGTTCATTCATAGTCTATATAGTGGTTCTAAACTTTCCAAATTTGCCATGAGTCAGATACTCCCCCCTCACACCAAAGGGGCCTCGCTGCGCCAGACCGACGCCACAGGCGCCGCGCAAGACGACGAGCGCCCGGAACGGCGCTGCCGTGGAGGTGTCCGCGCGCGACTGTGTGTAGCTAGCGAAGCAAAGCAACCGAGCGAGTGGACGTGGTGAGGAGCTTCTGTTGCCCTTGGTGCGCAGCCAGTGGTTGGAACCCTTCAACTTGGACCAAAAGCACTTCATCGCCGGCAGTGAACAGGTGCGGATGCGGGTGGGTGGAGGATGGTGGAGAGTGTCGGCAGCGAGAGCATTTTGTGTGTGTGTGTGCCCCTTGTAGTCACAGGGATTCGTTAGAATTGTTTTTCATTAGCAGGGGGACTGGAGCCGATTTGCCTATCCAGTCCAACGAAGCTATGGCATTTCGGTGGATGAGTGGTCTGATCAACCACTTGTACCTGCACAATTTTTTAACCTATGGTAAAGTAATGCAGCTGCAGTCACGCACCACACGCCGTCACCCTGTCGGTCCGCTTTCGCCTTGAGCTTTTGGCCCCATTTCCTCTTACAGACCAGGCTCCGCTGGTCCTTACTGGTTCTCTTAGGAAATGGAACCCTAGGCCGGCGTATCAGTTCCGTACGCATATCCATGAGTGTGTTTGGCTTCGTGCCAACCCGGGATGAGCCCGCAGAGTGCCTCCCGTGGACCCGTCGAACGGGGGTTTGTCCATGTTCCCCGGCTTTGGGAACGTAGGTGTCCGGAGCGGACAGCAGGTGGCCTAGGCCGAAAGAACTCAGATTTTTGTCTCATTTTGGAATTCCAAGCTGGCTCATGCCCTCACGTGACCGCAGCGGTCAAAGGTGGCAGCCTTCGGGCAAGCCGTACGTGGTCACAGCGACCGAAGTTTGTTCAAGGTTCATTGGAACCTGTTGCGAGCTTAGTCCCCCTGCTTCCCCTTCCCTCCCCTTTCTTTCCTTGCTTTTTGGGGTTTTCTTGAATGGAAGACTCAGGATCACCCCTTTCTTTCTTTGTTGTGTCCCTGGACGATTGTTCGTAGCTGGGAACACCTGCCTTTTCCTTTTCTCTCCTCTCCCTTTCTCTCCCTCTTTCTTTCTTTCTTTCTTTCTTTCTCTCTTTCCTCTCCACCTTCCTTCCTCCTTGGGTGTCCCTGGATGCTTTTGTCATAGCTGGGAACCTTTCTCCGCTCTTCTTTTGGTGTGTCCTTGGACGCTTGCGTCGTAGCTGGGAACACCTTCCTTCCTTCTCTTTCCTTTTTCTCGTCTCTCCCAACCCCTCCCTCCTGTCGGGACCTTAGCTTGGGTTGCTACTAGGGGCTCCTGGCCTTCCTACTAGGTGCTAGGTCGCTACTTTGACGCTACTAGAGGTTCCTGGCCTGGCTACTACTTTGTCCGCACCTTTTGGCGCGGAGCTTAAAACATGCCTCCCTTTGGGGAGGCGTGTGTGTGTGCCCCTTGTAGTCACAGGGATTCGTTAGAATTGTTTTTCATTAGCCGGGGGACTGGAGCCGATTTGCCTATCCAGTCCAACGAAGCTATGGCATTTCGGTGGATGAGTGGTCTGATCAACCACTTGTACCTGCACAATTTTTTAACCTATGGTAAAGTGCTAATGCAGCTGCAGTCACGCACGACACGCCGTCACCCTGTCGGTCCGCTTTCGCCTTGAGCTTTTGGCCCCATTTCCTCTTGCAGACCCCCAGGCTCCGCTGGTCCTCACTGGTTCTCTTGGGAAATGGAACCCTAGGCCGGCGTGTGGCACCGCTATCAGTTCCGTACGCATATCCATAAGTGTGTGTGTTGGGAGCGATGTTGAGGATGCTGTTGGTGGTTCGGCAGGATTCAGGGGTGAACATCTGTGGGTTGGTGCGAAGAACGGACGTGAAGAGATGTGACATGCAAAAGGTATAGTATATTACATCATTAAATCTAAATCTATAGTGAAGTTTGGTGGGTGACTGCTTAGGCTTGCTCAGTGGATGGTCGGTGAACCTGTTAGGGAAGGAGTTGAGAAGCCAGTGGTCGAAATGGTCAATGTTTGTGAACGGAGACACCCCTTCAAAGGTCCACAAATATGGCAGGAAAAATCACCTCAATCACCTTGAATATGTTCACATATCCTGGTTTTGGTCCACCAATCCTTGCGGTCTTGGAGGACCAGGTCCAGGCCCCTGGTCTCGAGCAGGCCCATGTTTTTCATTTTGGACCAGGTCCAGGTACACCGTGCCGGAGGCGACGCTCTGGCCATCCAATGGGGATGCCAGTGCATGCATCACGCTTGCTCAGGAGAAGAAGCAGATCATCCAGCAATATCCCAAGATGAAGGTGGGAACTAGGAGACAAGTCGGCTGAACTGCAGAGAACAACTAGGACTACTGTAGGACTGTAGGACTGTTGTTCCTCCAATCACTATGCCTTTCTTCCTTTGTCAGGGTCCTACCTGTTTGAACCGTCAGAGACACCAAGATCCACACTGTTGTGGACGCTGGTCACCTCTTTGCACCACCGAGCGCCCACGGAGCTCCGCGCTCAACTCAACCACGTCCCGAGCGGAGCGCCCGGAGGCCGAGGCCTTCGCGTGCCCACGCAGTGACCGGCCGAGCTGGCTGGTGGGGGGCACCTTGCTCTCGGAGGGGGAACAGCTGCCGTTCCAGATGCGCCTGGGCTTGGACTGCCCCGTTCTGTAAGTTGGGAGCACCAACTCCGACGACGTGCAGAGGGTCGTGAAGGATCTATGCACTTCGAAGCCAAAAGGCTGGTAAATGCTCCAAGACACTTTCCCAGATCGCATGTGGCCATCATGTCTTGAAATCTTTATGATCTACCACCTTCATCCACCTTCCGAAATCGGGGTCACCTGGCTGTTGCCGCCCCGGCCAGCTACACAATCTCCAGCCCATCTCCACCCCGAGTTTGGAAGGTCCAGGTATGATCAGGTCAGGTACCCAGGTACCTGGACCTTTCAGTCTTGAATGGAAATCTCGGAGAGTAGTGGGCTGGGCTTCCAGCCAGGTGAAATAGATTTTGGAAGGTGCTAGTATGAATTCTTTCAGCCCGGACACTCCATTCCCAGCACAACTGGTCCCTCAAAACGGGATTGGTGAGAAACCCCAGACACCTCAAGAGGATTCGGGTCTGGGAAGATTCTTGTTTTCCCCTTCTGGTGCAACGGCTCATGTCATTTCGCCCTCCGCAGGGTTCAGCGGCACCGAGCCGACCATACGCCGATGCGGCGATGCGACCGTGCAGCGAGGTCAGCCTCCAGCATCAGCGGCCCCAGCTCACCGCAGAGGGACAGGTTGGGCCAAACGGAATTGGGCGGTAGCTGAGATCCAACACGGTGGTGTTTGGAAGAGCTTTGATTCAAGTTGGTCTATTGTGAGTGCCAATGATTAGTTGTATATATATGCAGTTATATTATAGTGAGCTTCCGAAAGATAGAATATTTTTAAATTCGTAAAATGCGATTGACAAATATTAGAAAGTTTCAATGTATTTGCCTTCCCAGAGGTGGGTTAAGAGATATAATATTTGGTTCACTGTACTTGGTCCAGCTGAACGACCGTAGTCGTTCCTCTGCTGATATGGGGAGGGCGACCTGATTATATAGTAGCAATTAGAGTTTGAAAATAGGAAGCAGTAAGAGATAGAATATGTTCACAATGAGAAGCCCTAAGACATTGATATGTTTTTTGAAACCACATGAAAATTGTCACATGAAAATTGCGGTTTCCTCCAAAAGCCCGTTGCCAGAAAGCAGGGATTGCCTCTACTGATATGGAGGGGACGGCCTGATTTTATAGCAATTTGGCTTTCAAAATAGCATAAAATAGCACTCAGCAAGAGATAGAATATGCTCGTGGTCTCACCTTCTAGTGGTCATCAATGGATGTCGACTTCGTTGCACTCCTTTTGAGCTAGATCGACAACTGGCGTTTCCGAATGAGAGAAATGCAGAGCGCCAGAAGACGTGCAAGGCAGTTGCAGACCATTTTCCACTGCACAAGCGCAGATTTCTTACAGTGCCCACAAGAGAGAAGACAGGCTTTTATGAATCTCTTGCCGAGTTGTGCAAGCAAGTTCACGAGTGCCCACCTTTGATTTCCAGCAAGACTCCTTTTGATGGTTCGATGTTCTTTAATCTTGTTCATAGAACAGTTGAGGCCATCAATTCAGCGAAGCCTCTGCAACCAGACAATGTCTATGATGGCGTTCTTAAAGAGCATGGCGGGAGGCTTGCGGAAATTGCATTGAAGGCGGAGCAAGGTTGCTCGGCAGTTGGATCCGTTGGACCTTGTCCTTCCAATGCAGATCTTTTGGAGCCCGTCCGATGACATCAGCCCAACAGTCAGGCATTTCAGGCCCCAACTTGAGCAGAGAATGAGAGGTTCATGAAGTGGAAAAGACAAACGATTGAAGACCCTACGACTACAGAGGAGCGAACGATCACAGAAGAACGCTACGGTCCGGAGAGAAGCCGTACTGAGGTGGTGATCGGATGTACTGCAGGTATCTGCAGGTGCAGCGGCAGCACCTCTCATCGTTGCTCCGCCTCTTGCGTTTGTTGTCCCTGCAATAGGTTCTGGGCTTGCAGGGGGTGCAGCTAGCCAACTTTGCAAATGCCGCGACAAGACGGTGACCTACATCGAACAAAGACGCGCAATAGTGGCGAAGGAGAATGGTGAGCTGGTCCCATCGGAGTGGGAGGAAATTGAAAGATGGGAAGAGACTGAGACGGTATCGGTACCAGAGAAGACTGCAAATGCTGACGGCTCTTTGACGTCAGACTCCACGGTGTGAACCGTATCTCACTATGCAGTGTCGGAACATGTCACTTCATTTTGCGTATGGTCTGGCGTAAGGACATTTGATGATTTGAACGTAACAGATGTAACAATCCATGATTTGTTAGACCCAATTCAAGGAGGTTGACAAGGAGGTTGAAAGAATAACTCATAATTATAATAAATCTGTCGTTCCTGAGATAGCCACACCCATGGGTCAGAATGGGTGCCTAGATCTACTTTGATTGTCGCTGCTGCATCCAATATTCCTTGATTCCTTGCCCAAGCGCCCCAGCCAGCCTGGAGTGTTGGCGGCGCCCACCCGTTGGCGCACTGCAGGGCTTACGAGCCGATCCTTTTCCCCTTCGTCCGCGAGTTGGAGACCGAGACGCTGCAGATGTTAGGCGCCGAACTGCTGCAGATGGGGCGTTTGGTGGTGTCATGTCCGAAAAGGAACGGGGCAACCCCGAATGCTTTTGAGGCCATGAACATGGAACCTCAATTCTCTCAATTCTGCTTGGTTTTCTTTTTGTTTGTGAATCGACGAAGGGCTCTGGAAAACTACCCGGATATCCTGGAGAAAACATCAGCGATGATATGCGATGATTCATGTTTCACGACAACTAGGGACAACCTCACAGGTAAGATTATGAGGCATGCTCCAACGCTCCTGTGCCATCAGATGCTGATCAGACACGATCAGACGCCACTTGTAGCCGCTTGACTCCTAAACTGGAACATTTGAGGAGAATTCTGTGTTGGGCTTCTCGCGAAGTGCGCCATGACACATCCAGATTAACACAACACTGCTCACAGCAGTAAGTTTTCGTGGTGCATTTCTGCATTTCTCATCATTTCTCACAAATGGATGATCTAGCTGGGATTGGGACAGTGCCCACTGCCCACTGACCGTCGACCGGAGTTCTCACCGACGCCGTCGGTGTACAGGTTCGGTGCCGACGTTTGCCTTTGGTGGGGTGCAGCACGTGAATCGGATTAGCCAGGCCGGACGGTTGAAGATCTGCGTGCAGATCTGGGCAATGGTTCATATGGGGTCTATGTCAGGACCTGGTGGTGCCGTTTTTCCAGCATTTTCGCATTGATTCTTGCAATCACCCTTTCTACCGACGCCTTCCGAACTCGGGGTCACCTAGCTGGAAGGCGTTTAGACATCTGGATCTCCAGCCAGGACACCCCTGGGAAGGTCCGGGTAAGTTGGATGTGATTCAGAGTTCCCCATGAAATCCTTTTGACACCCAGGCCCACAAGTCACCAACCGAAAACCTGCAGTGGCGGTTTTCCCGCGCGGTGTCGGTTTTCCATGGTTTTCCCATCCCCGACGTGGTGCCACATTCAGGTTGCTTGGTTGGATTTGTTCATTCTACACATACAAAGCCCTTCAATGTCAAAACATCTGGCAGCTGGTCGTGTGCTGTCGTGTGATTGGTGTTTCACGCCGGGTCGCCGTCACGCCGGGTCGCCGTCACGCCCGTTCCCAGACTGCCCCGGTGCTCGTGGCGCCTGCGGAGCCGTTCACCTTGGCGGACATGTTGACCTTGAGCGGCGCGGCTGGAAGAAGTGATGACAGGGCACCCCAGGCGTTTTGGGGTGTTGCTTATACTGGGTTCCTGGGTTAAGTCGTTTGGTTGGATGCTGCATTTCCATGCAGGTTAGAGGGGAAGATGGCAATATCTGGAAGAGTATGAGGTCAACAACATTGTTTGGATGCTGCGTTTTCATGCGGGTTAGAGGGAAGATGACCAAAAAGTGAGTTGAAGATGATTGAGGTGGGTAGGTGGATACCTCGACTCGCACGGCACTCGCGTCAGGTTCGAAAAGACTCGCGTCAGGTTAGCCATGTTTCTTTGGGGTGTTTGATTATATTGTAGCTTGTAGCCCCGAAAAGAGGTGAGTGACCACCCCGTATCCGGACCCTTATATAGATCTTGGGTCTGTCCCATGACCAGTCACAGGAAAGGTAAACAAGAACATCATATATGAACATTACTATGCATCTGAACAACAATCATCCACTGTTACTGATAATGGGACAGACCCAGAGGTTGAAGGAATTTTGTATTTCTATTGCGAGAAACGCCGCACCCCCTTAAGTAATGGTCAAACCAAGGCAAGGCCAGGAGCCAATCATTCCCACGGTGTTTCACTCCACACCAAGGCCGCTGTGGTTTGCCGTTCCGATCCGAACCGTGCCCAGGTGGTCTCAGCCGTGCTGCGAAGCTCCTGGACAGCCCTTTGACGCGTTGGCCGGTGAAGGCGGCGGCGCCCACGATCGGGGCGATCGGATGAGCCTATCGAGTTCAGCCATGAGCAGTGAAAATTACTTTACTTCGAGTGATCCCCACCATGACATTTCAATCTGACAATCTTTCTGGCATGTATTGAAGCATGATTTCGGCGTTCTTTCTGGCATATCTTCTGACACTCTTTCTCACTTTCTTTCTGGCTTTCTATTTGGCATATGCGGGATATCTTCTGACTCGCGGTTGAGGTCCGGCGGGGAACACTGCCAAGCGGAACTCGTGGTTGAGGTCCGGCAGGGAACGCTGCCATCCTGCACTTGCAGCTGAGGTCCGGTGGGAACACTGCCATCCTGCACTTGCGGTTGGGGTCCGGAGGAGGAGGCGGAGGAGGAGGAGAAGGACGATGGCAGCTGACATAAGATCTAGCAACCCTCACCTCACTGACAGGTGGGGAAAAATCGATCTGAGCTCAGCCTAACGGCGCGGCCGAACAGAGGGTAGCTTTTGGAGGGGAAGCCCTGTCAGAGAGCATTCCCCAAGAGTGACTGCCTGGGACTCAAGTTGATCATGCAGTAAGACCAACTTAATGTTGACCTCTGACTAATAAATGTACTGTCAAACTTTGACACTCTTAGGAAACCCTAAATAAAGTTCATTCCAGGCTCCAAGAAAGAATTACAGTATATAATAAATGAAATGCCCCCTTACTAAAACAAATATTAAAATCAAGGTGCATTAGTATATGAAATGGAATTGAAAATAAAAAGTGCAAACTCTATTTCGGGTCCCTTCATTAATCAGGGCGCAGATCGGCTAACTCTATTCCGGGTCCCTTTATTAATCATAGGTCAACATTAGGCGGTCAAAGTAAGGAGCGTTGTTTTTGTTTATACTCTTAAAGCAGTGATTGCGTGTTTGGGTTTTGAGATGCTTGAAGTGTCTAAAGTGGAGAAGAATGGCAACATATGGGACCTCTCCAGCCCAACTACCTCTCTCAGTCTGATGATCTTGTTGTTCTTCACGGTGCCAACTCCACCACAGCAGAGGTGTGTTTCTGTGTTTCTGCAAAGCGCTTCAGGCGGCAGGCAGCCAAGGCCACTGCAACCTGTCGAACGCAGGTGTGGGATGTGTTTTGAAGGAGCCTGGAAGTGCAAGGCCCACAATATAGGGTGTCCATGAATCATAATATTTTAGGCTATATATGGAGGGACCGGTCCCTCATATGGAGGGGTCTGGACCCTAAAATGGGTATACATAAACCTACTAAAGGTCTTTGTATAACCACCCTGGCAGTGGGTCCTAGAAGTTCTTTTGTGCAGCAACGTTGTGAAAAAGACACGCAACATGCCAAGTTTGGTTTACTGTAACCCCATATCCGGGGGCGTTTCTTAATCGAAACCAAACTGCAGTTTGGGTTCCTGGCAGCAGGTTTCTATGCTTTCATGCTGCCGGTCAACATATTTTTGCCCAGGGCGAATCCGCAATCATTGTTCCAAGATGTTCCAAGCCATAGACCCGCTGAGGCACGACCGGTCCATTGCTTGCCACCCTACTGGGCACAATCTGCATAAGCTCTCGGCATTTGTTGGTATGGTAAGTCACCATCTCCAGTAAATCACTTGCCGGATGTTGGTTGACAAGCTTGACCTGATCCTTCACCTGTGATTTGACCCCTAACAGGAGCAGTTCGTTCCAAAAGGAATCCAGAGTTACTGGAGAGTAGGGGTGCCCACTGCCGCATCATCCACTCACTGGATGGGTCCCAACTTCCACACATTGGAGAGCCCTCAACACGCCCATCCGGCAATCCAGCCGGCCGGCGCCCCTTCGAACGGGAGAATCGCGGCCGTGGCGTCCGGAATAGTGGCGGCGCGTGGCGTCCGGACCTCGTCAGGGTGGACTTCGGCTGGGAAGCTGCGAGTGCGGGATCTCCACAAGCGAACAACATGAAGCGCCACGGCCGAGACGCGGGAGTCTGGTCTCCACCCACCGGCCCTAGGTCTTGGTGCCCTCGATCTCCCAGTTTGTGTCATCAACGCTAAGAGGGATGGTGGTCGTGGGGAGTGTCGAGATGGTGTGATCCACACGATCTCCTGATCCATACGGTGAGATCGAAAGACCCATTCCGGTGATCGGGGCGAGGTCAGAAACTCTCCAGGATGGGACCGGATCCGACATGGTCGGGACGACTCAAGTCGGACCTCCAGAGAGGTCGACCTGATTGGTCGGCCGGTTGGAGGCCATCGCTACTACAAGTGGAGGATGTTGGAGGCCAGGCCATCGCTACTAGTCAGCTCTACAAAAAGGCGCTTAGTCAGGTGAGTCCCATGGATGGTCGCTCATGGTGGCTCCAGTCCCGCTGGTCGGCCGCTTCAGTCGGAACTGCCAGCTCGGCCCCCCACCCCATCGGATCGCCTGACCTCGGCCCAGTGACCTGATGGAGAAGTTCGGTCTGCTCCAAGCAGGCGGAGTCGACCCCGGCAGCCGGCTTCGACCGCGGAGTGTATGGGTTTCAGAAGGGAGGTTGTGTTTGTGCAAGGCAAACCTATGGGAGTCCGTGGAAAGTGCAATGTTGTTGTGTTGGGGAAAGGATGCAGGCTCGTGCTAGTGCGTGCTCAGCGGTTGATTGCGTGGCTCTTGCAAAGCTGAGCGAAGTTGTTTTGGTGTGCCCCTTCCGACTTCCCTTTCCGGCACGTGCCGCTCTTAGGGCAACCCCACTGCCACAGGAAGCAGCCCCTTTGCGAAGCACACTCAGGCACGCCGCGTTTTGCGGAGCCCAGGCGACCCACCCAGCCAGCTTCGCGTGACTGTCGACCCTCCAATCCCTTCACCAACCCAAACTCCGTGAGACTGGCATATTTACCTACACTGGGGTGGTTTTAGGGGTCAATGTCTGTAAATATGCCAGTCCCGTTGAGTGTTTGGGCAAGATCGGAGTGGGCCATTCATCCGGTTCTCAGAGGAAAGTAGTCTTCACGTGTCCCCTGAGTCTCCAAGATGATCCCTTTAAATTCGCCTTTCCAAGAAAAAGAGGTGTTTGAAAGAAAACTCTTCTTTTTTTATCTTTTTTACATATGTCACGAAATGTTCATTTTTTTGTTTGTGCCCTGTCAGATCCTCCTTAGACAGTGCCCTGAGACCTTTTTTCGGCGTCCAAAACGCGTCTTTTTGCATCCAAAAGGCGTCTTTAAGCGTCCGCACCGGACGCGTCGGGATGAAGATTAATTCTGTACCATTTTTTTGAGTCCTCATCCCTGAAGACGCTTTTTTTAGACCAAAAACAAACACGCAGAAAAAAACAGGTCGTTGGAGACTCAAGGATCCACATGCATGGAGCGTTCTTTCGCCAGTAAATAAATGGTGAGGAGGAGTCGCTAACTGAGTTTGCTGATACAATGGCTGATTGTCCCAGCTGGCTGGTCACTGGCTCTCAGATTCAATCCTCCCTAAGAATCTGGTCTCCGAAGCAACGCACAGGGTTCTGAGGGTCCAGACCCGTGCTATGGAGGGATTCTTAGGGCTCTTTGTTTCATTAGTTCCATGATGACGACCAAGGACACCTACCAATCTCTCAATCTCTTCACAAAAGATGGAGCTCCCTTGCCAACAGTTGCAAATCGTAAATGTCTTGGAGTAAGTCAACCAGAAAGAGTCAAGAACGAGGGAAATGTAAAGACGCATAAAGAAGCTGATACAGAATCCGGAGATTCCCGATTCCCAGAAAAGCGTTCTTAAGGGTGTTACATGAGCCCGTTCTCGTTGGGCCCAAATACATCCAAAACACGTCCCTTCGGAGATCACCTAACCAAGTTGTCATTTCACTTGAACATTCAATACCCCGACACTCCACGTAGATCGTATACGCCATATTTACGGTGGGTTCCACCAACCGGTTGGGGGAGGAGGGTCGAGTCGGTACTACCGGTGGAGGTCGGAAAACGAGCAGGTCTTCGGGGAGAACGAGGTGGCTGCGCTCCTCCACCAGCTGCAAGTCCGAAGGAATGCGGGCGAGCCAGGCGCGAAGCGCGAGCTGGAGCGGGCGATCCCGATGGGAGGGAACGGGGGTGTTGGGCCGTGGTGGAACACGGGGGGGGGGAGGTGGTGGAAAAAGGGATCTTTCGGGTGGCTTCACCGGTCAATGTATGGGCACATCTTCCATTTCCATGACAATGAATCCCTAGGGATCCAAGTACCTTCTCAGGTTCGGTGATGTGTTTGACACTGTTATGTAGGTGCCAGGGTCCTACCTTCTGAGGTTCGGTACGACTGGATCCCTAGGGAATTTGGTTTTGGGATGTAGAAAGGCTGGATTTCCAAGCGGTTGGGCCCCCATGTCACGAGAGTCCTCTCAGACGACTGGCCGGGCCCGCAGGTGTGGTGCGGCGAACGCTGCGCGTGGTGCGCAATGAGACCTGGCAGATTCCAGGTGCGGAGGGAGATGAAATGGGTCGCGGTGACATGTGTAAAGTAGACCCTCAGGAGGCCCCGCCTTCGAAACATCGGCGTGTCTACCCGGGCCATGGCCGGGCTTATTGATACACACTCGAACGGAGGAGGGAGGGATATCCTCTTGATCAAGACAGCTTCCCTCACCCACGCGATCATCACTGATATCAACCGCCGGGTGTTTGAACAAACCGCGGCGATGAGTCCAGGTGGCTTCTCAGTGGATTTGGTGCTGATCCATATTGACCGTGTGGACAATTTCGAAAAAAGCCTTCCGGAGGTGACGCAGCAACATGGTGGAATGACCGAGGGTGGGTTGGGATGGGTAACTGGTAACCTGGTCTTTGTTTGACTGTTCGTGTTGACGAGATTGGATTGTCAAATGTGGGGTGGGTTGATACATCAAGAGTCAACAGGATTAACAGGTTTGAAAGCAGTGCAGTTTCCGTAATTAAGCTCTTACGGTTTTGAGGTTTCCAACATTCGTTTGTATTTGCTCTCAGCTGTCCTCATGTAGGTTGAAGCCTGAAACAAACAAACTCCTGATTGAGTAGACTGCACTGCAGGGTGACTTTTTTGGGTTAAGAAATGCTTCTGCCGTATTGCCGTCTGATCAGTTTGGCGAGGGAGAGATCAGAATGAATGTCGAGATGTCTTCAAAAAGCATTGGCAAATGAGAGCAGCTCAAACAAGAAGTCAATGGTGTTGCTCTTGTTCCGTCATGCTTCTTCTGGGTGGCCTTGCTTAAAAACCATTCCTTACTGAACCTTTTTGCCCCGTGCTGAACAGCAGTCAGCACGAGTCTTGAGGAAGACGGACAGTGGAAACTGCTAATTTGCTTATTTCTCGGGGGTGGAGGATTTCTTCCAAGAGTTGAGCAGTTCCAAACCCTGCAAGGGGGCGGAAGTCCGCGTCTAGCCCTGGCGTGCTCGTGATCTACTCATACCCACACAGACAAGCAATCATGACCATCAATTCCCGTCGCTGGATTCTTTTTGGCCTTCCACCGTCGGAACCAACGGCAACCGTGGACCTGCCAGGATACCTATGAAGAGCTTAAGAAAGGCTTCAGCGGGTGCTTCACCAGCTTCCCGTGCCGAACTCGGCCGAAGGAAGCGGCCGGGCTGGTGTGCCAAAGATCCAGAGTTGGCATATTGGTCGGAAGATCGTATGACCAAGGCGTTGATTTTTCTGAAAAAAACCATGAAACAAAACAGCAAAATGCAGAGTTGTCATTATACAATTATAACAGTGAAATCAAGATGTGGTCACAGCAGTTAGACGTTTTAGATCACACTTCATTTCGATAATCTTTATGTCCGAACCCCTCAGAACAGCCGCCCCGGTTGCTCAGAACAGGGTTCCGCCTGTTTTGCGGAACGCTGCTGAGCGGGCTGGGGGTCCAGAATGCAGCCCTTACCGGGGGTCCTTAGCCTCCAGCTGAGTTCAGAGTAGCTGATACCAATTCCAGGAGATGCCTTCAAGCCCGCCCGAACCCATCCAATGGGGCACAAGTGCCAAGTGTTGGACATGGGCTGCAGAGAGGGAACACACCAGAAACAGTTGCCATGTTCTTGTTGACGTCTCCAACTTGTTTGTGTGTTGGCTAGCTAAGCTGCCCAAAAGCGGCTCAAGAGTGGTGGGCTAATGACCCGCCAGCTTTCCCTCACTGCCAGTGATGACCCAAGTTGCTGCCTTGGCGTCGACGTAGGCCAACCCTCCAGCCCTCGAAACACCCACAGGTTTCTCCGGCCGAAAATCAGCTCCGTCGAACAAGGCGCGGCGACGAGCCCAAAAGGTTTGACAAACACATCGCCATGCGACGTGGATTCGCATTGGTGTTTAACACTGATGAGCATTCGTAGAGCACATGGTCTTCCATGGCCAGAATTTCCACTCTTTTCCACTTCTATTTATCGGTGATCGAACATGAATCTTTATAAGGCCATAAGATGCCATATAGTACCAGGACCCTCCAACAGGTCTCCGAAATGGAGGCTTTTGCAAACTTAAACGTCGCAGGTGGTGACCCTGTGAAGTCGGGTGCTGGTATATAAATCTCTCACAGTCTCTCAAACCTTCGGAGCTTGATCATTCTTCGAAGTGAGTCCAAACCTTCGGAGCTCCTTCGTCCCGCTGCCGCTTTGCGCAGGCAGCGCCGCCTTCAGCGTCCGGCAAGCGAACCTCCTCGCCGCGCTGGCGGAGCGAGTGGGGGGCGACGCGGCGGGGGTCGTTTGCGCGAGGTGCTCCATGTCCAGGAGAGAGGAACCCGCGATATTAATACCCCCTTGATTCTATAGCTTATGGAAATGGAGTATGTTTTTGCATGAAATGACCAAACAGCGTGGATCATGATACATGATTTCGGCATATTTCAGATCTCTGAGGTATGAAGGATTATGTAACACATGTTCCCTCTTTGTTTAAACCTCCAAAAGAGGGTTCTGATATGTTCTAGAAGTCGTTTTACGCCGGGCATGGTTCATTGTTTTGTTGCGGTGGTTGGAGGAGACAAGAGTACTCTTGGGAGGCGTTTGCCAGCTACTCTTCGCAGAGACGATACATCGATCGACGATGCCCACAAGATTTGGATGGTAGGTTCCAGATCAGTGAGTGACCTGTGAATCATTCACCTGACACACGGCCTTTAGCCGTACCCAACAAAATCTGAAGAACTTCGGAGATCTACTCAGCTGAACACTCACAGGGACCCTTTGCAGGCCACTGGATTGTAGAGGAAAAGCAGTCTTTCAGGGTGCCATTCTCAGGGTTGCCCTCTTTCAAGACCAGCCCTCCACGTCACGACCCTGTCCTGACTCCGTTGAACATCACACGGGTGGGCCCCGTGGGGTGAAGGGAGAGGGAGGACGAATTCATGGGGTCACCCGGATTGGTCCTGCAAAGGCGGCAGGCGGAATGGATTGATGGCTTTATTATGGTATTTGACCAATCATCGCGATGACCAATAGGCGGAAATGATTAGGGCTCGCGATGATCGGCGGAAAAGAACATGGAGCCCATCATCGCGCGCCTCATCGCCCTCCCTGCGGATGCAGGAGTACCATGTGCGCTATGCCTCGTCGCTGCTTCGAAGCCGCTCGGAGTGGTCTGCAGGGTGGCGACCCGAACATCAGCGGGCGCCGGGCCAGGGGTCCAAAGGGACATATGCGCATCTACGTAGGGTCAAAAACCGCTGGGAAAAGGAGATGTTTTAGTCCACCCGGGAAAATTACACGTTTCTTTGAAACACTTGGTCACTTTTTCTAGTTAAACATGGTCAACTGCTTGATGGGAAGTGCTTGGCTCGAGTTTCCAACCGCTTGACGCATCCAAGGCCTGATCCCCAATAAAGGACGGATTCCGGTGCAACCGCAACCGATGCTCGAGAGGCATCTTGGAGGAATTATTGCACAGTGCCGCTTCGTTGGACCCTCTAGCAGGTGTTTTTTCTTTTTTCTGGTAAGACGAAGCCAATGAACTGGTGGTCTACGAATTTAAGAAGGGAAGTGCTTCTTTCTGGTTTGCTGTGTCAAGAAGGGATCTCATGAGTTTTGTTTTACAATAATATAAGACTAACTAAACACAATCCAAAGTCCCATATACATTGTACATTGTACATCCATATAAGCATCCATTTATAGAATCACATACATGCACATGTATGTATTGAACCACATTATTGTTGTTGAAAAGGTGGTTTTCCTGGGAAGATGATGATTGGATAAAGGACCGGATAACATGCCAGTACTAACACATGAAATTTCTATGATCAGGTGGGTTTTTGTGGACGGTGCAATGACAGACCCTTCCCAAACATGGAAGGGTGTCCCTAGCTTCGGTGCAAGTGCCTCAGCCCCAAAAACCAACGACTGTTGGCCAGACGCTCCGTGAACGACGCCCGACGGGTCCCTCAAAACCTAGGGATTTGAGGGTCCGGACCGTTCCCACATGAGGGTCCAGGAGCGTCTAGGCAGTGAACCAGTATTTGTGATGTTTCCTTTGTAGACATGAACCGCATGGCCGCATGGGTTTCAATGACGCTTCGTAAGACAAGATGACTGGCGGGTTCCAAGTTCAACCGCTGCAAAAGAGAATTTCCCCAAATCAAATCTTTTGCTTGACTTAGTGTGTTTTTTGCGTTGGATGAGAGAGCTGAGAGCCACCCGAAAACCGCCTTCAAGACGCAGGGCGACCGTTTTTGAGTGTTACTGAGGAGCGGGAATAGCCGCCCGTTGCTGAGCAGCGGCTTGAACAGCGACATCCACAAGGTCGAGCGGGGGTTAGAGAAGCCGGCAATGTTCGACGCGTGGTTTCATAGCGCGCGCACAAACACACAAACACGCATACACCCTGGAGCTTCAAGGGGTGTCCAATGGAGATCCCATGAGTAGTGTAGAAACTGTCATTGGTGATCCCGAAAAGAAGGTGCTGACACACACACATTGATGGTTCCTGGAAGGCAGCTTTGGGCCGAAGAAAAATGCGGTATGAGCGATCTCTGGCATGTGACGGGTGATTCCAGATGAGGCCGAAGGTCAATGATTCAAGGTTCGGTTGTAGTCAACATGAAGTTGACGAGGTATGGTCCACTGGTTAGTGAAGTTCCCATAGACAACATGTGGCAAGGGGAAATTCACCATACTTCACCATACTTCACCCGCATTTCCCACATGGAGAGTCCCATCCAACCCCCAAAAAGACACAAACGGCATCAAACGGCTAAGGCCAACCAGTCCCAAAACGGGGCCGGTCGGGGGGGGTTCAAGTTGGTGGTCGTTCGCGGGCGGAGTTCGGTCGACCCTCTCCCTGGTGGGATTGGGGCAGCGAACGGTCCTGCGTCGAACGATAGCTGGGGTGATGTGTTAGGTGGTGGAATGGTTGATGGTGGTGGTGGAATGTCAACACTTGGCTGGGCTCCTCACGCCGGGTAAGGCAGTCCCTTGTCCCTTTGGAAAAGGCCAGGGGTTCTGTGGAAGGTTGGCAGCTTAGATGAAACAGCAGCAGCTTGGAGGAGGAACATGAGGTCCTGTTCCTAAGCTTGATATAAATACAGGTTATTGAAGGTGATTGAAAAGACCTTCATTCAGCTTGGCAGGTCTTGTCGGGTAAAACGGATCCTCAAATCCAACGGAACAACAAGACAAACGGTTTGGGCACGTTCTCGTTTTGGGGCAGGTGGTCGATCTTGTCCACACTCTATGTTCAGCGGGCATGAAGAAATTCACCGAATTGCTTGAAGTGAGCATCCAGAAAACCCATAGGTTTGGGGATGTGTGAACCCATGGCTTCCTGTCGATGTTACCCGAACACCAATTCGGAGCATTTGTCCCAGCTTAGGCGGTAGGTCGCGTGACGTCCGTACTTAGTAGTGATGTTCTAGAAGCTCGTCCAGGTCAGTTTTCAAGACGAGTCCACATCGAGTCAACAAAACCCCGACGCGACTAATGGGACTGCCATTTATGCCGCCTACATGTAGGCCCCCCAAACCCACCACCCCTGGCCGTTTCTCGGCAGTCCTATGGCAGTCCCATGGGTGGCGTCTGGGAAAGTATGTTTGGCTTCCAGAGGGTACCCGGTTTTTCAAAGAACCAGGATGCTTTGCCATAGCGGTGCGTCGCGCCCAGGTCTGAGCAGTGTGAAGGGGTCCACGCGCGGTCGCGCTTCGCACGGTTCACTGGGCGTTTTGGTCGTGCGTTTTGGGCGTGCGTTGAGGGCACTTCGTGAAGATGCAAGGATTGGGGCCGAAACAGTTGATTGACCAGCCTTTTCATCCCTCTTCTTCTTTGGACCAAAGCACCGTGGTGATGGAGTTGCTTACAGTCCTGAGCTGACACTGTCATTTGTCAATTGTCCAAAAAAAAGATTCTCTATTTTTGTGTACTTGTAAGATGTTTGAAAGTATTCTCAAACAGCAGAGGTCTCCACATCACCTTCCTTGGCAGCGGTCGGACTTCCGTCGAAGACTTTTTCATTGGACAAGACCTTCACCAGCCGCGGTTCGCCGCAACCATCGTCCATGTGCACCCGGTGCCAAAGCCGGCGCACCCGTTCGTGTTCAGAGCCACCATGTCGCACCCCACATGACATGCCGGGTGTGCCATAGAACACTCCCTGAAACAATCATGGAAGTGGAACATAGGCCGTTGGAAGATCATTTCCTCTATATACAAGGGGGGTTTGTTCAGCTCCCATGATTTGTCTGAGGGAGAGTATGCCATGTTTCCTGGGCATTGGAGTTGTTTGGAGTTTGGTGCTGTTTCTTTCGTGTTTTCCATTCCGTATGACTCATATGACCGTCTCTACCAGCCAGCCTCCATGTGGCTTTCTGCCAATGTCTTATGGCATGGGCTCCCACTTGTACTGGGAGGCTGTAGGTTTCAGGATGTTTTATGCGACACATGTGCAAAGAAAGAAGGTCTTCTCGAAGTTCTCTCCTTAACAATAAAGTCGCAGTACCGAAGTACCGTTCGATCTTGTTCCAAGAGAGGTTGAGAGACCTTATAGTGGTTCGACCCCATAGTGGTACGTATGGGATGGGCGTCAACAGGGCTGTTCAACCTAGGACCCCATAGTGGTATGTATGGGATAGGCTATAAGGCTGTTCAACTTCTCTTGGGTTCCACCTACCTGATCAAACGGGGCGAACTCCCACCGCTTGAGCTGGGGACGTCCCCAGCACGGCGAGCCCAGCACGTCGAGACGACGCCCGGTACAGCGCCCGGTACAGCGCCCGAAGCCCGAGTGGCCAAAGAGCCATCGAAACACTGCATGGGAGTGAGTGGCGCAGATGAAGCAATGCGAAGCAATGCGGAGTGGATCGAAGCGGGATCGAAGCGGGTTTCGGTGTTGTTCTTTTCCCGGATGGGTGGAAAGCATCATGTTTCCAGGTAACATGTGGTTTTCGTGGGTTTGGGCCTCATCAATGGGTGGGGAGGACACAGTGTTCATTCATCTTTTCCAGTGTTCTGACTGAGCTGTCATGCTCTCAACGACCAAGCCGCTGGGTGATGGATGTAGCCTCTCTGAACCCGACGGACTGTCCGTCAAACGGAGACGTCGGTGTCTCTGAAGCCTTAGCGCGATGGATGTGGCTAGGTCTAGCAGGGTGGGGCTAGGTGAAGATCTTCTTCTTACCCTGAAAGAGGGTCGCTCCGGTCGCTCCTCGGCTAGGCCCAGGTCACTGAAGTGGTCCAAACCCTAACTGAGCTGAGCGTGCCAGGCACACCTTGGGAGCTCGCATCAGAGAGCTCGCCGCAGGGGGTCCTGGGATGGATGGAGAGTTGAGAGTTGTGCTTGGTTTATGGACTGGATGAGGGTATCAATGCTTCGAGGAAGGCTGATCGCCCTTGAGGCCAGGTGACCCACTCGTCGCCCATCCTGGAAAAAAGCCGTGACCGACCCGGTTCCGACGGTGGAATTCGTGGGATCCGCCAAGATAGGCATGATGTTGGCCAGCTCTTCCCCTGAAACTCGAAGGGGTTCCGCTGCCCTCCCTTCGGCTTCCGGAAAGGTTGCTTCCAGGGCCCAGCTGAGCCAGCTGAGCAACCCAACTTGTTCTGCACACCCAGAACATGAACCTGAGAACCTGTGGAAAGGTAGCTTTGTGATGCTTTGTGAAGCTTGTCCGCCACTCACTTTTCAACCACCCAAATGTACCGAATGTACCCTCCAGGGGTGTCCGACGTAGTAGTAAATCCCGACAATATGGGCTGGGGCTTCCAGCCAGGTGACCTTTTGAAGGTCGGCAAATATGCCATACACGGCGTGATTTGGGTTATATGGGTCGACGATCGAGTGAGGCGCAAGCCTTGGCTCCGCCAGCAGAGGGCTTGCTTGGCTGCAACAAGCCCCAGTCATGCATCAGTCAGGGGCGGGTGGAAGAAAGGACCCAATATGACCCAATTCTTCCCAATTCCATCCAATTCCAAGGTGCCTAGCTCGGCAGAGACCCCAAACAATCCCAAACATGCCTGCACCTTCCGAACTCGGGGTCGCCTGGCTGGGAAGCCCCACACTACTAAGTTCGGAAGGTCCAGCCAGGACACCCCGAGTTCGCAAGGTCCAGGTACCTGCGAAAAATCGGGGCGCGCCGAGGCTTTGCGCGCCCCAGCGATTCAGACGTTGTTGGTGACTCCCGAAACCCACCCAAGTGACTCCCCAAAACCCACCCCCAAAAAAGTGAGAGGCAGAATAGCTAAGTTTGGACGTAAGACTTGCCAGAGACTTGGGCACCCAGGCACCAAGGCACAGATCGGTGCAGCAGCTTTACAAAGCTTCTGGCAGGACAGGCTGCAGTGCTGCGATTTCGTCCTTTCAAGTTGAGCCTCCAGGTGGTTGGCGCTTTGGTTTGCACCCCGACCCCGCCAACTCCCGCGGAAGTGCCTCCGCCACCACCTTTCTTTGCAGCAACCAGCTGATCCACAGGACACAATGATCAAGGCTCTGAACCGAATGATGTTAGAGTCAGAGCAAAGCACTTTGGCCTTCAAAGCAGAAATGCTAAGTGCACCTCTCTCCCGCCCTGTGAAACTTGAAGGATTTGGTGAACCAGGTGGCTGGTTCTGAGCCCCCCCGGGGTCATGTTCAGTGATGTTCAGTGTATTTTGTTTCATTTACGAACCTTATATTGGTGCTGCAGCTGCGGCAGGAAATCACCTCTGAGGCCTGGTCTCCCAACTGCTCGGCCATGTCCTCGCCTCGCTGTATGAGCTGCATGCCGTGCCGGAGGCCTCCGCCGGTGGAAGAAGGGTCAGACTGAAGTTGCTAGAGGGTGGTTGCAACAAGGTGTTTCGTACAACAACAAGCATATTCTGGCATGATTCTAGACTCATTTATCATCCGAATACCTTTCCGGTGGCTTGAAACATGTTGAAACCATCAACCAAGTGTGTTGCCTTCCAGTGCATGTACGCACGGCCAAGGGCAGGTGGTCAAGGACCTGCGACCGCAAGGATATTCCAAGGTTTAACCAATGGATTACACTACACACTACTTATGGAACTTTCATTAGACTCTCCATGGTCTAGGCATGTCCAGGCAGTCACGATCAAGGACATAGCTATTCCCTAACCATGTGCGCTAGTATTCGAATCTTTTTTGATAGAGGAACCTCCCAACCAATGGGTTCCCTTCTTCCAGGAGGTCTTGGGGAGGTCTCCGTCTTCTACTTCACACCCATGTGTGAAGGTGGGAACGAAACAGCTATTGGACAAATCGTCATGTGGCCCCCAGTGAAGTGAATAAGGGTGAATGATGGTGAACGAGGACGTTCTGAACAACTTGGGTGTTGGAATTTTCAGGTGGTTTCCAGGTTGGTGCAATGGGTTTATTGTGACGATTCCGATGGTAGTTTTGCATCTCTGTGCGTTTGTAAAGAGTACGTGGAATTAGTGGAATCTAATGACATAGCTTACAGGAACATCACTCTGTCAGGATAGCTATTGGATGGTGAACCAATGGTACGGGGGGGTCGACAAGCCTTTGGCAACTGCGTCTGGCAGTTCGAAGTCAGTTGCGCAGAAACTTCCTAGGTACCACTTGATGGGTTCAATCGCAAGGGAAGTGTTCATGGGGAACCTTCAAGGGGTGCTTGATTTGGTATGCTTGATGCATCGCGTTGGCGTTTGGGAGTCCCAAAACAAGAACTGTCAGGCTCCCAAACTGTCAGCACCGCCAGGCATCTCTCTCTGAGTTCAGCTCCCGCTTCCCCACCACTTCCGCCCGCCCCGGGCGCCCTGGCCTCGTGCGTGCGAGGCGTCGGGCATGGAGGACCCTTCTGAGGCCGACCTTTTCCGGGGCTGTGGACTCGGTGGAGGAAGAGGAACAGGATTCCCAGACACTCCATGATGGAATAATAGGATATATGCCGACGTGTAATCCCTAGGGATTCACACACCATCCAGGTGGACTGGACCCCCACCTGACAGTGTCTTGAGTTGTCCACTTAGAGGGGTTGGGCCCGAACAGTCACAGGTTTGTTGGAGGGTGACCTGGAAGTGTAGGAGTTGGCACGTATAGTTGCTAGGCAATAGCCCTAACGTGTTGGAGGCTACCAAAAGTCGTAGCGGGCTGCGTGCCCGCAGCGTTTCCTAAAGTTGTTGTTGACATAATCTTAGAACATCTTTCAACTTTTGATCTACGCCCTGAAGTGTCACACAATCCCAAGTCCTGCGCTCCTTCAAGCAGGCTTGCACACACTATGTGGATTGCCACCAAGTCTTGGTGACCAAGACAATAAACCCAGAAGGACAGTTGAGTTCATGATCCCGCCAAGAAACGCAGTCAAAGGTTGCATGGAGCCGTCTTAGGTCAGTCTGGCGAAATGTTGCGCAAACAAGATCTGCTCCTCTTGCACGTGCCGTGCCTCAACATGTCCGTTTTCGCTTCAACGCAGTGTATGCAGAAAATTGTGGCTGTTCTTGACTCATGCGAACTGGTCTGAATGTGCTCTGCCCACTGGTTTCTCGTCGTGCAAGGCAAGCCTTCACGTGCAAAAGTAGAGGCAGTGTGTGCAGTGTTTCGTGCAAAATGCTAGTTCATTGCACCTGTGCCGAACACGCTGTGCCCATGAGATTTTGCTTCTGGTTCTGTGCCTTTTGGCACCCTGCCGTGCCTTTCGTGTATTCTGCTG